GCCATCTACAAGGTGGCAATTTGTGTCATCGGGTGTTTATCGCTTGTGTGATGTTCTAGTGGGGTAGAAAGTCAGTCAGTCAGCAATCGAAGCGGACGCCACAGAATGTCCTGTAAGCTAATGGAACCCTGGTGCGTCAAAATGATCTCACAGTGTTTACTGCCTCTAATCCAACGACGTCGACATTTTCGCTAGGCTACTCTGTTTCGATTTCCAACTGCCAAGTGATTTTTTACGCGGACACCATGCCTCGAGACCACGCAGCCCCCCCCCCCCCCCCCTTTTTTTTTCCTCCCCGCACCCTGCTGTAAAAACTAAACGTGACGGTCCCTTTACGGGCCAGTGGCGCAGTGAGCATACAGTGATGTATTGACATTCTTTGGGGCCAAAGGTGATCTCAAAGGCTGATGTACTTAACATACGCCGGCCACCTATACCTCCTTGTCACTTTACGTGGAACTCATTTAAGACTGGGTCGGTCTGGAAGCCACGTCATGTATGAAAACAAATCCTGCTCCTTGCGGATTTAAACCCACGACCTTTGGATCCCTTGACGAGCCTCTAGCTGCTACACCACTACGTCTTCCACACTAGAAAGGAGGGAAAAGGAGGGTGTGAACGCCTCAAGTTTCATTACTATATTTCAATAAATTATTTTTTAAACGACAAAAATGTCATATGGCGCTGATAACCAGCAAACATTTTAATTCAGAATAAGGCAGTCTCAAACGGAGGTACTGAAATCCACCTCTCCGCCCCCATCTCATAACTATCACCGTGTGTACGAATCAAAACACGGATACGATTAATCACACACAGTGCTCTGCCACCATAACGGCCCACAACCATGGGTCTGTGTGTGCAAATCTCCTGCCCGGTTTCACCTTTCAGATTTACATCCCCTTTGCAGCTGTGTATATCTTGTGGATTGGGAGAAAGAATACCTGTTTTGTTTTAGAGGGGGTCCAGTCGTGCATCTGAGTTCGGGGATTGCTAATAGAGTCTAGGAAAGAATGAGTCATTTAACCAGATGTGGGGAGAGGTTTTGACACAAAGAAAACATTTAGGGGCTGGATCCCCTCAAGGGGCGTAAGTCTTGTTTAAGTTGCTATTATTATTATTATTATTATTATTATTATTATTATTATTATTATGTTATATCATTTTAATGTGCTGAAAGGCACATATAATGGGAAATAATATTTAATGTATCAAATATATTTACAAAGATAACGTATCTGCATGGTTAGAAGATTATCCTGCGTCTCAATGTCCGACGCAATTTGTTGTTGTTTCAAAGCCCCACCTCCGCTGGTACCTGAGACCCTAACATAACCCAACCTTTGGGTTGAACGGGGTATCCCGAATGTACTCACAAGGCGATCCTCATCCGAAAGGTGGTACTTTGTGTCACCGGGTGTTTATCGCTCGGTGTGATGCGCTAGTGGGGTTGAACGTCGTCGTCATCATCTGTGCATGGTGAGGAGACCACTTAACCGTCGCCAATTTTTGAAGGAGCGGGACCATCCTCCCTCAGAAACTACATTATTGGGGGATGTCTGGGGTATGACGGGTGTACAGGCTCGTGGGCATCTGGATGTGGGGCTAGGTAAAAATAACATTGCTCCCCACATTTACACAGTGTTACACACTAGTTCACTTATTATTGGTCGACTTTCTGCCTAGATCACTTCTGATTGGTCGACTTTGAGCCACGTGACCTTGACACGGTGACGTGGGTGCGGCCCCCCCCCCACCCCCAATGCCGTTGATATCGCGTGTTCTATATTTCAGCATGCCAGGGCTTCTAACACTCCAAAAACATCGACAAACTGGGTCCAATACGAAACCCCTTTAGATAATGATGAAACCTATGTCACATGCATTTTCTTTCACGGAACAAAAACGTAAATGCAAGACATCCCAGAAAGCAAACTAGAGAGCAACACACCCGTAACTTCCAGCCAGGTAGACTAGTCCAACAAAGTTATTAATGGAACGTGACCTACTTCCTCTGGGGAGACTATCTTAAAACTAACTGTGAGGCTATTCCTCCCTCTCTCTCTCTCTCTCTCTCTCTTTTTTTCTCTCTCACTCTCTCTCTCTCTCTCTCTCTCTCTCTCTCTCTCTCACACACACACACATACACACACCACACAAACACACACATTTTCTTCTCTGACTACTAAAAACTCCATGGGTACTAAGTACTATAGAAGGCTTCTAAACTGAGTTCGGCCACTTACCGTCTTAACACCTTTATGGGTTACAACATCCAGGTGTCCCTCTCCTGTCTCACAATTAAACTATTTTTGCTGAATATGAAACGCAAGTTCGCTGCTGATGACGTGTGTCCAAATAATGTGTCGTAACGTGCGTTTGCCTTGTTCTTCTCAGAGTCCAAGCTATGTGGCGTTAGTAGTCATATCTATCCACAACCTTCTGTCTCATGTACTTTAAATAAGCTGATCTTCCATGCCACGATGTCAGACTGTCCCGCATCTGTTCTATCGGTCTCCCTTTGCCTCTTCTCCCCTCCAACTTTCCAACCGTCACGATGTACTCCAGTTTTCTCATCCTCATCACATGAACAATGAATATTGTCTTTTTCTGATGTGGGCAATCAGTTCTCTTCGTGGGTCAGTTACTTTCAAGCCGTCTTCATTACTCTGTTTAATATGTCCTGGGTATTCTCATAATTGGTCTATAAAAACCACATCTCCATAGCTTTCAAGCAAGTTTTCAATAATTTACTAACTGTCCATGATTCACAGCCTGCCTATCCTAATTCTGCCATACCTTCAGGAAGACGAGTGTCGTGTTTAAAGGTTTGAACAACGGTGGTAACCCATAAGTTTTTCGTTCTACTTCTAACGAAAGCCCAAGTCCGAAGAATCTGAGCACATTGCACGAACTCCGTAGCACCGGCGAGGATCCTGAAATACTATGGGTAGATTTTGAACTCCAAATGTTGCCGGGCAGCTCCGTTAGGCTACTCTTTTCGATTTCCGACAGCCGAAAGATTTTTATTTACGTGAGCAACAATACATACGGACGTCCGATCTTACTACCAAGAGACCACGGAAAATTACTAGAAGTCCACGTAAAAAAAACCACAGCCTTAATCGGGGCCTGAACCTGAGACCTCCAGCACTCGAGGCGGACGCCAGGGGTCGAGACCACTCAACCCTTTAAACGAGCATCGTGTGCTATGTATAGTTTATTAGTTGACTGCTTTGCAGGTATCGCTCATTGGCTGTTTATCTGTCCATGAAGATTGGCTACACATTACAACTGCTGGCTTTGTGAATATTAGTGTGGTAATGCCCCAGTCTCTTCCTTTGTGTGGCTCTCGTACATCAGGGCGAGTACCACTAGAACCATTTTTTTTTTTTTTTTTAAACCGTCCATCGCGGAAGTGACCTATCGTACTCAATGATCACGAAAGTGCTATAAACATGTTCATTGAATTCACAACACATCTGATTCTTCTGACAGGTGTAAAGCTGCAGTTTCCACATTATCTTTTACTGGCAGGCAGACTGTCCATGGTTCAGTTCTGTACATAAGAAATTATTCTGTTAAACTCCCTTTAAAGTCCCTTTCTCAATTCAGTGAAGTTTTTATAAGGAGTAGAAAATTATAGGAAAGAGAAAAAGTTGGTAAGAAACAACAATTAGTTTATGTTAGCTTTACAAAATCTATCACAATAAACAAACAAAGGACGTTGCGGCGATTAGCCTTCATCAGCACATAAAGGACAACACAGTACACATACACAAATAGGCTCTAACTATGAAGTGACTACATAGGACTCTAATGTATAAAATAAACGATAAGTCATCATAATATAATAATTGTAAGTTAGTTGCGTATCATTTTCAGGACGTTGCCGAACCAACCCAGAAATGTTGACTATTTGGTTTTAGTTGTCAGTTTGTTTGTTCAGTAGTTTGCTATTGCTTACTGATCGGTTAGCTTTTGATACCATTGTCGATATCAACGAATTGCGGCCTGCTGTCAAACTGCCCGCAGCTGGAATCGAACCAGTTACCTCGGAACTACGAGATGCGCTCACAACAACTAAGCCACAGACGCCGACATTGTAATCATTATCCAAAGATAATTTAACGCATGGGAATGTCCTAAGTGCTGTAATGTCAGCTCTTGACTCAACTCAACTCCAAAGATAATTACTTACTCCATCCACTGAATGCAAATTATTGTTTGTAATTATTAACTTTTTTTTTTTCTCAGATTCTTCTCAAGATCTGGAATCTACTCTTATCACCATCTATGGTCATAGCCTGGCAGCAAAGACAAAAAGCAGTGAAAATGACAACGACCACTCAATTAATCAACCAGCAAGAAAAACCCAGTCATTGCCCACAAGAACTGACCAGCAGGATCACGTTCACCATCGTGACGTGAGACAACCAACATCAAGTCGACCTCAGTCTAAGATGGATACTGAGGAAATTATCCCCAGCTTTGTCAGATCGTTTGGCGATAATATGAAGAGGCCTTTAAGTACGAGTTCTGCTTCTTCAAATTCTGCAACAGCCTCACCTTCTCTGCCAAAGAAAAATGGTAATAAAGGCGACAGAGATGGTAGTAGAGATTTTCTCGACGATCTGATTGCTAATTATACAAAAGTATCTAATGCTTCTGGAACCGATATTGCACGTGAATCTAAAAACGACACCGAATCGGATTTATATGCCGAGAACAGGAATAGCGATGAACTTATGGATAGTACAAGCATTACATCTTCTGAAGCTGACAGTTTAAGGAACGAGGCAGATTCCTGGTCTATAAAACCTCAGACATCCTGGGATCAGGTTAACACTACATCCATAGAAGACGCTGTGAGAAATCCCCTGCCTCCAACTGAATCATACTCTCGCCAACTTGACCACAGTGCCTCCGACGACCACACGAATAGAGGCGCGGATAATTCCCGTCTTTCATCGAACTCTATCTCCCGGCACGAAGCTCGAATGAAGTTTTTCACGAATTACGAAGAATACCTTCATCCGCAAACGACTCCTCAAGCATCAGTAACGAAAGCGAACAACAACAGCTCCTCTACATCCCCATCGCCTTCATCGAGTAAAAGCTCTTCAATATTCCCTGCAACAGTCTCAACATCATCATCGAAAGTTAACAACATTGATGATTCTTCCGTGCACACTCCTTTACAGGATAAACCTTCCTTTACCCCAGCAAGGGCAGCGGCTGAGGACCGCAAGGACACCTCTTCCAAACTCTCTCGAAGTTCCGAGAGAGCATCCAGACGATCAGATCGCCGTGGTTCTAATGCCAAACATGAAGGATTATCTTCCCGATCCGGCTTTTCCAGGTCCTCAAAAAAGAGGGACCATGCAGCATCTTCCGAGGCAGGGAACAGATCTAGTCAAGGCATTGTCAGTTATGTTTCCAGAGTTGTCACGGAAATAGTCGAATCAGAGCGGACGTATATTTCCAGTCTAGAGGATATCATACACGTAAGCATTTTCTTAGAAAGATACATATGTTAATGAGTAAAGATTGGGGGTTGTGCAAAATTGAGAATATCTTTAGTCATTGATTGCCAACAATGGCGACATAATTAAGACATTAAACAACTATCAGTCGCTCTTCAAAGACTAAAACAACTGAATAAAGTAAGGGGTGGGTCAGACAGAAAAACAAAAATTAGGTTTCTAAGAGCATGCATCTTTCCACTTGCAACATACGTCTGAGAGACCTAGACGCTTACTGAACAGAGCAGCGCATAAATGCCTTTGATTACAAATGTTTCAGACGGGTTCTAAAAATATCATGGGTAAAAAAATAACAAATGCATCTATACTCCAAGAACTGAATATTGAAGAAGGTTGGCTATTAAAGACGATAAAACATAGAAAATTAAAATATTTTGGTCACTTGAAACGTCACAAAGGTTTAGAGACAACAGTAATGGAGGGGTAAATGCCTGGAAGAGGAAGGTCAAAGAGAAGATGACTGCAGGATGTGGCGGATGATCTCCAGATGGGTGTATCGGACGCTGGACATCTTGCTTGTAATCGTGAAGCTTTCCAGAAGGTTGTTATGGGAGCAAAGGCCATGCTACTGACTGACTGATGGTTTATTTTACTGTTACCGTCACATAATCCTAGTATCACGCGCCTTTTTTAGGGTTTCCCCTAATGAACCAAAAGGCACTCTGAAGTAGTTTTAGTATTAAGATGTTGGCTCGCAATGATCTGGTGGTATTCTGCAGCTCCAGTGAACATCCAGACTACTTGAGGGGTGGGGCGACTCAAATTATGGCACTACAGGATACATAAACATTCCTAGGTGCAACTTGGCCTGACTTCCTCATTACTTTTAAAGCCCCCAGACTATATAGTAATCCTATGCTAGTCAAATTAACACAGTATAACATGAAGTATAACCATACAACAGATACTCCAGACACTAAGGAACTTGGAAGGATGGACACTAACTACAGAATGTAAAATAACAAAACATCATGTAATCAGTGCAACACATGTAGGAATTACAAGAAAAGAATTCAGCAAGATCAATCAAACCAACTAAGGAAGCAAAAAATATTCTATTCCAGATAGGCACCTGGTTTGTCCCTAATAACAGCTAATATTATCACTGCCAAATTGTGGAATTTGGGACCTAGGAAACTGGCACTTAATGTTAGGATTACCCACATGCCCTGACCTGTCAAACTTAGCTGTCCAGGATCTCCTGTTCATTTGAATCGAGGCTCCTCACACATCTGGTAGAGCAGGTATGTCGACTGGTGAATTCTTTCTTGAAGATCATGGCTCGTCAAACACAATAATGAATATAAATTATTGTCCTTACATTTACCCCATCGCTAAAGTCAACGTTAATGGGTATTTCATGGAAGATGGGTCCGTGTTAAATTAAAAACATATTACAGTGCAAACTGTATGCCACCCACTGGTCATGGCAGTTGTAGGCATTATGGCGACCTGGAACGTTGCAGATACAAGCTGGTGGTGAAAATAACAGAACAACAGACAGTTGACGAATATGAAGTCACTGACATGGTGCAATGGCAGGAATGCCTGGTACACAACAGATCCCTTCTCCTGTTTACTAGATGTGGGTTACACTGGATAGTGCTAAGATACTGATTGTCGACTTGGCTTCCAGACAGTACTAATATCCCATGCTCATGGACGTTCTCGGATGAATCGATGATTCACACTGAGGTAAGCAGATGTACAGAAAAGGCCGCAGCCGTCTGTCCTCTCGGAAAGCTCAGTCAAGAATGGTTTAAAACTAAGCGTCTCTCCCGATAGAGTTTGGAGGGGATTTGTCCGCGTCCAAACGGTAGTTAGGCCATTGGAATTTAGCTTCACTATCAATGAATCTCCTACCCATAAGACTGTTAAAATTTATATCAATCCTAAGACAGGATATAATTGAGTACTTAACCCGACATATTGACACAAAAATACAAAATAATGACTATATACCTATAGAGTACAGTCACAGATTTGAAAGTGCCCTATTTGCATAGAGGTGACAAAATGTGGGCAGGTCCGTGGCCAGAGATGTGTGGGCTGTCATGCGACAGTTATTGTAGTTCTTCTTGCTCCACCTCTTCCTCCCATTTTTCCATTATGGGGCAAGGACTCCAAACCAACTTGTCGTTCTAACCTTTGATTTCTTGTGCAGCACAAAAATGACCTTCCAATTTTATTCATCTTATTATCGGGACATAATTTTAGACGGGCCTGTATGCCTAATTCTTAACCCATTGAAAATAAAGTCAGTTCTTTTTTCGGCTGTTTGTTCAGAGAAGCATAGTTTCAAAACCGAACCAACAACCACAAGAGCACTGCGCAAACTTAACACGTACTTCTCCCCACCTCAAGCTCTTTGAGGGTTAATAACCCCCTGTGCATGATGCAACAATTGTGATATCATGAACAGATATAAAAACCCCAACAAAATGTAGAACCAGTCAGCTTCACATTGTCACAAACGCAACGATGACAAGTAGACGTTGCCGCTAAAGAGCTTTCAGCAGCCGATTATATGAATATACGAGTACAATGTCATAGACAGGAACAAGAACACACAAAATAACCTAAATAAAGTATCTCTTTGAGAAATCACATGCCTGGCCACTTGAATCTCTGGTCCGCTTGTGGTCATCAGAAACAAATACTATCCAGAAAAAGCTGTGAACGGCAGGTTTCGTAACCCAAAAATATTAGACAAAACTGTGTTTGACGTTAAGTTCCTATGCGATTCGGATCCCATTAGATGTACGGTGTGAGTGGTGCTAACGATGTTAACACAAGAAAGTCTTAGGTTTTTCGCGGGACTGTACTAGAAGTGCACGTATGGTCTGGAACAAAATGATGTTGAGTGACTGCCGCAAAATGTAGTACACGTTACAGGGTACAGCTGTTGTGATATGCAGTGACCTTAGTGGTTCGCTTTCATCACGTGTCTACAATAACGTGTTGACTGTTTGAAAACACGTCTGTTTGCTGTGTAGACGTGATGCATAAATGTATTCTTTTCTCTGCGTTCATTTATTAAATAATGGTTAGCATATTGCTTTGTGGTTTACAGCTAGTCTGCAATATCTTTCGGCCGAATGCATCTAATTTTAACAAATCCATAATAACTGCAATATCTGAGCCTTTCGGCTAAATGCATCCGATTTAAGCAAATCCATAAAAAGCAGACTTTTACGACATGCTTGTCAGGGTACAGGGGGTTTCTTCTTTGTTTCGCTAAAATGGGACCCACAACCTACACCTGATCGATCCTATATTGTCGCTTTAACCAAATCGTACTGGACAGTTGTAACGTAATAATTGTAGTTGCAAAGATGGTTTCCACTGGCATTCTGGTTATGTGGTAATCTTAGTTTCAGCTTCATAGCAAACGGATCACTCCGTCGTTGCTCCGCTCTTGTACCAACGAAAAACACAAATGTTCACTATTGACCACTCACGAATGACATGTTTGAGAAAGATCATGAACAAAACTCGAAGAGATCACAAGAGAAACGAAGAAATTACAAAAACAGTGCCTATCATTAAGTTCATTAAATTACAAAAACTACTGAAACAGCGCCTATAATTAAACGCATTGAAAAGTACAGACTGAAATGGTTTGGCCCTTTATTGAGAGTGAATCTAATGACGCCAGCAACGAGAGGGTACAACATGAAAGTAGAAACACCAAGAGGTAGGGAACGACCAAAAAGAAAAGAGATTTAATGAGTTACTGAGACCTTGAGACTCCTCAACATACTAGTATGCCTGATAACCTAGCGTGCCCTAGCTTGTAAACCGATCCTCTGCTAACTTGACAAAAAACACAAGTTTAAAGTGTGAAGTTTGAACAAAGGATCACCATCATGGCACACGGGTAGTAACCTGTAAGTGCTTCGTTCTTCTTCTAACTCAAGTCTTGAGTCCGAATAGGCTCAGCTCAGTGCACAGGTTCTGTAGCACTGGCAAGGATCCTAAAATACTTTAGGTAGATTTTAAACTCCAAATGTTGTCCGGGCAGCGCCGTTAGGCTACTCTTTTGGATTTCCAACTGTCAAATGATTTTTTAACGCTCTCTGCAATGCACACGGGAGTCTGATCTCACTACCCAGAGACCAGGGGGAATTACTAGAAGTCCACGTGAAAAAAATGACAGCCCTTACCGGGGATTAAACCCGGAACCTCTAGCACTCAAGGCGGACACCATGCCTCTAGACCACGCAGTCTGACCAAAAAAAAGAGTGTTCATATTCTTGCAACGAAGCTCCAGTAGAGGCTCGTGAGTCTTAGAAAAGAGGTTGCAAAAAGCACGCCCAAATCTTTATGTACTGTGTTCTGGCTGGGAGCTATGTGTGTACGGGACTGGACAGACTAATGCTACAGATAAGGTCTTGTTGCTAATGGGTGCTGAAAGATACGGATATAAATATCCTCCAACCAAATTTAAACTGTATGGCGTTTTTTGACACGTACATAACGATTAATCTACCTACTTATGCTTTAAATAAGGCGTGTGTGTTTATAATTTATTTTCTTGTTGTTGTTTTTTTTTTTTTAATTCAAACACTAATGACCTTATAAACTAATGCATTGCTTTAAAAAAAAAGCATGACCGTTAAAAAAAAACAGCCCACGGACTAATCTTCCTGCCCCATCAATCATTAGTAGCTTGCCAGGAAGCTATCATATATGTTTATTCCGCTCGGCATCTCACCCTGTGCTTCCTTTAAACCTTATAGTATGTTTGCCACCTCAAGCTTTACCATCATGTAGCGGGTCCTTTGCAGAATATCTCTCTCAGCAGTGGGCTGCGTGGTCTCGAGGCATGGTGTCCGCCTTGAGTGCTAGAGGTTCCGGGTTCAATCCCTGGTAAGGGCTGGGATTGTTTCACGTTGACTTGGGCTTCTAGTAACTCCCCTTGGTCTATGGGTGGTGAGATCGGACGCCCGTGTGCATTG